AAATAAAAGAGTATAAGTTTACTTTGTTTAAAAAGGTGAAGGCATAATTTTGGGGAGACAACGCATAGTTCAAATGAAATAAGAATTTAATGATTTTAAGTTTCTGGTAGCTAGTGGTAGCAGTTGTTCTTGTTTCAAGAGTAACATAAAAATCTTAGTTGGTATTATGTACTATAGGATATAAAAAAATAGAAATTGGATTCTTAATAGTCATAACATTTGGTTGAAGTTATAACAATGCATTCTATTTTATGGCAGTGATACGTAGTTTCTTGTGGTTTGGGATTGATGATTAATTCCATAAGAATAAGGTTGGAAAAACAATTATTTTTTTTATTTTTGAAATTATAAGTGGAAAGCAAGAAAGCAAAGAAATATTCTTCCTTAACAAATTATTTCCTAAGGTGGTTTCTTGCGAAAATGAATTGCTAGATCTGATCTCATCAATATTTCTCTCAATTAACAAGATTTTTTTCCAAGTTATATTTAATCATTATTGTGCGTGCATGCATATATGATTCCTTATCGTTGAGTTCAATTGTGCGTCCAAAAGAAGATGCTTGAATTGGCATAATTTATGATATTCTAATTTAAAATTATTTAAGATGGAATTGATAAACATTTATAAGTTGTTCAAGATGAAACATGCTGTAGTATGATCATTCATGGTCATGTAAACATGAAAAAAATGAAGAAGCCAAGTCTCACATCTAATATACTGACAATATCTTTCCATTCTGCTAGCTAACTTTTATAGAAAAAAAATACAACATGCGTGGTAACACTTTTAAATCCATTAAATTTTCATATGATTTAGAGTGAAATTTGACCACATTAATTTTCTCTTATCTCCAACCAATTTTATCAATTTCTTATCACGTTTTGAATTTCATTTTGCCTAAAGATTATAATTGACATACTATTCATCAAAGTCCTTATTTTGACAATTGAAATTGATCCTCTATCTGAAATTTTTCTCTCTATAAAAAATCATTTAATTTTCAAAATTTTTTATTATCCCAAGAAAAAAAAATGCTAGATTTCATAAGGTTTGCTTCAAATTTTACGTGACAATGATGCTGCATGAAAAAAATACACACATAAATATATTTGCACATTTTAAAACAAAAATGATTTTCATCTTCAAATTTTCGCATGTACTGTATGTTATAAAAAGTTTCAAACCAATATTGATAAGATGCATGCACACTGCAGTAACTTATTGAATATGATGAAATTTCATTTCCAAACCAAGTCACAATGTTTTTCTTTTATTTTTCTTAAATGAATATAATTGAAACAAAATCTTCAAATCGTTGAATGAAAACTTACAACTCATGCAACCATTAGCTAGTATGCTCCCTTGTTGAAGAGTCCAATTTTGAAGTATTTTTTATGAAGAAAAACTAACTTACAAGTGTTGCTTCGACTTTCTTCATAGAAGTGACTCCACATAATTATTTTTCATAAAACATTGTATAGAAATCTATATTCAAAAACAATCATGAGCACAAACTAGTGTGTGTGTGTGTGGAAGAAAAAGGATCAATACTTATTACATTCAAAACAAGTAGTGTGGTTACCTTTATTCCTCTCTTGTTTGAGGTCAGATGTAAATTAGTTGTAAACAGACATCAACTAGTTCCATGTATTTTTCTTCATAACTTAAAAATGGGCAACTCTCTTTTCCAAACAAGTTTGAATTGAAGGAAAAAGGAGAGTGGTTAAGTGAAGAAAAATACATACAATATATATAACATATTTATAATGACATGTATAATCATGGGAATGACAAAATGAGAATATGAGATAGTTGATATACTCAAATATTATGTATGGACATCAAATACAAGAAGCAATGTTATGAACACAACAAAACAAAATAGTATACACAGAACAGATAATATTGGTACAATAGATTAAATCTAAGACAAATACAATAGGAAATAACAAACAAGATATGAATCCCAAAGAGAATAATCCAAGATTAATTGGAAAAAAAAAAAAGACGTACTGATCACAAGGGGTTGTATTTTTGCCCCAGCAATTGTTCCTCTGGTTATGGATGATAACAAAGAACATTGTTTTCCATTGATGGAGCTAACAAGGTCTTTGAAGAGACTCAAGTGAAGAACAGGATCAAGAGATTCAAATGAATTACTATGGTGGATAAGAGATTGAAGAGATGCGTATAAATAGTTGCAAGCAAGGGTTTAATACATGCATCTAAGCATTGAATTCATTGTTTATTTTATCCATTGTTTAAACTTTAAAGCATTCATGTAAGCCTTTAATACATTCATGTCCTTTAATTTTCACTTATGGTATTTGTTTTTAATACATCGATCATTGAAGCAAGGGTTTAATACATTCATGTAAACCATTAGTGCATTTACGTTATTTGCATATTCTGGTTCAATACATCATGGAAGTATGGATTTAATACATTCATGTATATCATTAATACTTTGATGTCCTTTCTAGTATTCTATTTCAGAAAGAAGTTTGACCAAAAATTGCAAGGTGGCATGTGGGTGTCTCTTATTGAGAAGCTGAAGCAGGTAAACAACAACAAATGGTGAAATTAATGTATTTTTTCCAAAAATATCTTTAATAAATATATTTATTTTTGAGTAAAACATTTTATTCAATAAGAATAAATATAGGAAGATGATATTAGTTTTGAAGATAATTAACTAATTTATTAAAGGTGAGATTAGATTATACTAACGTTACATTTTTAACTAATATAACATTGCACATTGAAACCGACCCTTGGAAATATGTTATGTTGAGTACTAGCACTTTACTTGATTTGGACGAAGAAAAATGGTTCTTAAGTTGGATATGTTGGTCTATTTATTAAATATGTATATTAGAAACTTTAAAATGAATCATGATCCAATGTACTAATTAATCTCTCAGAGATTCTATTTATAATAAAATCGTATCCATTGATACTTAATACAAGATTTTTTATAAAATTTTAAATAGCATTTATCATATAGTTTCAAAAATACCCTTGTGACCTTGTCTTTTTTGTTCTTGGCTTTTCCATCCTCCCTATCTCTAGAAATTTTTGACATTTAACTACGTTTAATTAGTTTCTTTAATCTCAAAGGGTTGTTAATATGGTCTTATACAATTTGACACATGGTAATTAATGGTTGGGTTTTCGTCAGTGTAGTAATTTTTAGAAAATCAAAATTATATCTAATTTTTTTAAAATAATAATAACAATAAGGGCTAAAGACCTAATTTACTCTAAAACTTTTTTTTAAAAGTAGCGGACATTCTATAGTGAAATGTGGGGCTATATCTTCTCTAAATAATTTTTTAAGAGGCTATATTGTCTCTTCATTAAATATGCATTGATTTGACATTTAGATTATATAAAAAGATTATAGAAATGGACCTAAAAAATTACATAAAATGACCTTATAAAAAATTTAATACTAATTAAATTTCTTAAATTATAAAAATTTTAATATAAAAATTTTATTTCTTACTTATATAAAAATGAAATATTATTTTAGCCACCATTTGATTGACTACTGAGTAATTATTGAATCACTAATGCTAGAAACATCAATAACTAAAAAATATTTTATTTGTTATATAATCTTGTTATAATATTTTCATATCTAATAATTTAAATTTATTTTTTATAAATATTCATTTAAATTTTAAAAATAATCTTTTAAAATATTACTGGCTCAATTAGATTTTTCTAAAATTTGTAGGTGATTTGTAAATTAATATAGTATGATAAATTGTAAGGCTTCTTTCAAAATTAATAAATCTTCCTTCATAAATTTTTATATCTTAAAATTTGATTTGTAAATTATGTGTGAAAATTTATAAACAGTATATTTAAATGATCAAATATTAAAGTATCAACATTTTAATAAGATGTTATATAAAAAATTAATATTTTTAATTACTTCTCTGAATTGTTGCTAGATCTAACAATCACCAAGTAATCATTCAAAATAATTGGTTAATAATTTAAATATTATTATTTATAAATATTCATCCAAATTTAGAAATAATCTTTTAAATATTAGTAGTTGAATTAGATTTTTCTAAAATTTATAGGTGATTTATAAATTAATATAGCATGATAAATTGTAAGTCTTCTTTCATAAATATGTATATCTTAAAATTTGATTTGTAAATTATGTGTGGAAATTTGTAAACAATAATATTAAATTATCAAATATTAAAGTATCAACATTTTAATAAGATGTTATAAAAAAATTAATATTTTTAATTACTTATCCGTATTATTGCTAGCAATTGTGATCTAACAATCACCAAGTAATCATTTAAAATAATTGGTTAAAATGATATTTTGGTAAAACTAACTGCTAAACCAAAAACTATTCAAAGTCTTCTAATTTTATTCACCAATTGTCTTCATTCTGGCAATAACAAATACTTGATGCACACAATTGTTAATACCAAAAGTTTATAGTAAAAAATGTAATATAATATTGTGTCAAAGTCATTCCCACTTTGAATAAAAATAAAATTTCCATTTTTATTCAAGTTAACAAAAACAAATTAAACTTAACTGAGTAAAAATACAATTGAATTTACTAAAATGCATTGAGATTCTTAATCCAACATCCACTTGTCTAAAGCAACATAGATTCACTAATTCCCTATTAAACTTTACAAACTTCATTTTAACCCAATTACTTAATTCAAATGCCAATTTTATTAATCCAGAGTATTAATAATCCTTCAATTCACTCATAACCTTCTCTCAAGTTAATAATGTTATGTCTAACATAATTACCTAAGAAGCCGTTCAATTCAACCAACACTCTACAATGATTAGATGTGCCACTTAGGTATGTCTATTTTAATTGCAAATTAAATAATAACCTAATTTTATATTATTCAATTTAATGGTTCAAATAACATTCCTCTTTGTCAAGGAAAAAACCCTACTATCCAAAATCATATTCAATGGTGGCCAAATATCAAATTGATTAAGTAAATAAAATCAACATTGAGCATAATCAATAAAAACAAGTCTAATCCACATCAATAAGTTCATAATTCCTATAAGACTAAAGAGAGGTCAGCCAAACATAGTCCTGAACATAGCAAAAATCAGCAGACTATACATCAAAATGATAAAAGGGAAAAGAAAGCTTAATTGGGGTGATTTTGATGCAATTCATTAATCTCCCATTAAACCCTAACTTCTCCACCTCATTCTTGGCGTTCTTCCTTCATTACCCAAGAATAGCAGCTGCTGGAAGTCCAAAATATTGAGCCCCAACCTTCAAAACCCCAGAAATATCATTTTTCATCAAAGCAATGCATTTCACCAACCGATAAATACGCCACGACGTAAATGTCTTATGCTGCAGCTAAGACCATTTTGTTGTTATCACCAGTAATCATAACTTAAGAGTTAAAACATAAGATCAAGTTCTCTACAATTTTTAAGGTTGAAATTGTCTCAGTACCATAACAGAATAAATGGAAATTAAAATTGTAGACGTGTATAGATCAACCAAAAGACCATGCAGCTAGTATACTCTCTCAAACACACAGGTATTATCCATCTCTTCATCAACTACGATAAATTTTACATCTAGCCCAAAGGAGAAAATAGAAATCAAAGTTAACTGTAGGCTAAATGGTTTATTGAATGGAGAACTAAACACAAATAATTGAACATGAAACCTGGTTTTCTGATAATCAATCTTCAAGGAGGTATCGGTTCCTTCTTGCACCAAATGCAATTCGCTGTATTGCCACAAAAGAGAAGTCAATAAGCTCTCAGCAAGATATTGGACACAGGAAATAAAGTTCTGAACAAGATAAAATTGTACCGTTAGTTAAAACAATAAATAGAAAGTTTATAACTCACATTTTGATCCTCTCTATCAAGAAATTCACCAAAGTTTCAAGTGAGACAAAAAAACAACTTATACTATTCATATTTTTAAATAATCTTTTTAATATAATCTTTTTGAACTTGCAGTTAGAAGACATTTGATATTTGTATTTTCTTTATTAAAAAAAGAAAGAAGTTAAAGTTGTAACAAAAAAGAAAGAAAGAAGAAAAAAACTAACTTGAAATCTAAAATCAGAAAGATCCGATCAGTGAAAAGGATCAAAGCTAAGTAGGGAGATATGAGGTGACTGACCTTAATTATGATCATCTCCATTTTATGAGGCAATCTAAATTAATAAAGACTAATTTTCAATGAGAGCTTCATCACTCAAGATTAAACTCTTTTAAATATTAGATTTACTTTGAGATTTTCATAACACCACTAAGGCTCGTTTATTCAGCTTTTTTGATTAAAAAAATTACTTATTTTTATGAAATTTTATGATGTTCATTTAAATTTTTGAAAATAACTAGAATATGAGAAACATTATTTCTAATTATTTTGAGAAGCTGCTTTGAATAACTTAAAAAAAATAATCTAATGCGGTAGAAAAAAAAGTCATAAAATGAGGAAATACATGAGTATTTTATAAAATTTTAAAATAATTAAATAATTAATAAATATCTATGAAGATACCATAAAATCTAAAAATAATTAAACAATAATTACTTTTTATGATTGTAACCTCCTCTTTTTATAAAATCTTTACAAAATAAATATCTTTTTATAAAAAATTTTAAATTATCTAAAAATTACTTATTTTTTAATCCTAAACAAACAAACCCTAAACAGTTAACCATGCAAGTGAAAAATGGAGCATGTCAAAGAATAGGATTGTTCTTTACTGAAAATATCTGAGAATATGCTTTAACCCCAGTGAGAAATCTAATGTAAGATGGCTTCATTGATCCATTGGCAATGGTGGATCTAATGTTTGGAACCAGGAATTCTGCAACCTGCATATCATCATGTAACACAGGAATAAAATAATAAATACAGAACAAGAATTCTAGGAGAGCAAAAATTGCTCATAACAGTCTAAATTCGTTATAATTCCTAAGAAGCACATACGCTAACGTAAATAAAATATCCACACTGCCAACAACATCCAAATGCAATTCTTTTTTTTTTTTTTTTAATTAGAAGAGCAGGCACTAATTGCCTGAGGTGACAAGCGTGATCAAACTTACAACCTCCTACTTAGAGGGGAGCTTACAATACCACTAGGCTAGAAGGCCATTGGCATCCAAATGCAATTCTAAATATCATATCTTGTACAAGCATCCAATATGTAGCTTTTTTCTTTCTATACTATTTGTATCATTTTTTTTTTGGAAAATTAATCATTTGGTTTTTAAAGTTTTGACTTAGTTGTAAGACAGTTATTGAACCTTGAATTGTTATAATTCAATCCTTATAGTTTTAATTTGATTATAACTCAATCTTTCAACTTTGATTCTTGCAATTCAATCCCTATAGTTTATTTTAAAAAATAAAATTATAAAGATTAACTTGATCAAAAAAAAATTATAAAGATTAAAATTATGTTAAAATTTAGGACTAATATTTTAAATTATCAAACCCTTTTAATCTTTATAAAGATTATAAAGATTAAAATTTTAAAATAGTTTTAATCTTTATAATTTTATTAATATAGGGACCAATATTTAAATGGCTAAAATTACAAAGACTAAGTTGCAAGAGTCAAAGTAGAGAGACTGAATTATAATCGAATCAAAATTATAAAGACCAATTTACAACGAATTAAAATTCAATAATTAAGTTACAACTAGATTAAAATTACAAGGGCTAAATAATTAATTTTTCCTTTCTTTTCTTAAAGTATCAATGCTTCATAAAATATTCCATATCCATGCCACATAATAGGAGCGATCAAATACCTAACAAATGAGGCATTTGAAAAAGAAAGATACAGAGAAAATCCAAATAAAATAGTATGATTTGACAAATAATTAAATTAGCAAAATCTCAACTATTAAAATAAACCATGATAGAACATAGAAGAAACCAATGATAGTCGAGTTGAGAGGAAATGACAAGATTCTCTTCACGCAGAGTCAAGAGATCAAAATTTGAAGACGGAAAAAATCATGTTAAGAAAGTTACCCCAAATCGAGATCAACAATACTCAAATATGACTTCAAATATTAGATATCGAATAATTATATATATATAAACATGACAGGATAACATATATCAAATTATAATGGTAAGAATTTTCTTTTTTATGCTTGGAATATATAGCTTCAGTGATTTCTGATCATTATGTTAATTTCACACAAATTTCCATTTCTCTTTTTGGTTTAGTTTATTACACATTGAATTATTAGTAAATATTGGAATTCACGAATCAAGACAGACCAAACCAATGACCATGGAGCGATCTTATCTATTACAGATGTCAAAAAATCTTACCACTCAGCTGGTTCAGCCAATACATTAATGAAAAACTTGCTGGTTCAGCCAATACATTAATGAAAAACAGAAACCAAAGTAATTCAGTCCAAAATACACAGAAAAAACTCTTGAGATGACCTAGGGAAAGTAACATGAGTTTTCTTTACCTGTTTAGTTGTAGCACCAGACATGAGAAGATCAGTAGTGACCATCCCTGGCTGCATAACCAGAAAGAAAGAAAGAAAAAAGACTTGTCATAATTAAAATTTAAATTGTAAACATCATAAAATGTAATAATTCTTCCAACAGTTTCATATTTCAGATGAAGCAAGAAGCAAGGAGGTAATATTATAGCACAAGTAGTCAGGCGCATATAGAAGGAAAACATGAAAGTAATGTGCAATATAAGTCACCATTTTCCTCTATCATCAGTTTCACATTTCATCATAAATTTAATAAGCTTTTCCAAGTATTTAATTACAATGTACAAAAATGCTTCAGCAATCAGTACTCCATTGAGGTCTGACAGGTGAAGGAGCGGTATTTTAACCAGTGGTGGACCTACATATTGTTGAGGGGGGGCAAGTTGGGAAAATTACAAAGAGAGGTAGGAGTTTAAAAATTTGCCCCCATTGTCCCTATAATTTTGAACCCATTAAACCCAAACTGAAATGTATTTCAATTCAAAAATATTTAGGTCTTTTATATTTCACTTAAGCCTAATAGATTTTAATTTTAAATGTATTATATTTAAATTTAGATTGCTTTTATAAGAATATAATTTTAATTTTCCTTTTTAATATTTTACAAATCTAAAGTCAAACTAAATAATAAATAACCTTAATAAAAATGAAATCTGAAATTTTAAAACATACAAAACTAAAAGAAAATCAAAGACAGGAAGATGGTGAGACTCTTTGCTAGAAAATAGAGTCTGAGACGAGAAACAAAGTGAATGGCGTGAGAATGTGAAGTTAAGCGTGAGAAAATGATTAAAGCTAACAATGATATTGCCTGTTGTCATAGTAACTACAAAAAGAACTTTTTTTGCTAAGTTTGTAAAAAATCGGTTGTATAATCGAATGGGAAACCTATGATTTAATAGCATTGACAATGAGCTGATCATTCAACAGTTTCAAAACATGAAGTCACATAGAGAAAACTTGTAAGTAATGTAAATATTTATTTTATATATTAAATTTTTATTTTTTAATTATTTTTACATTTTATATAATTTATGCCCCCACTGACTCAGGGTCCTATGTCCGCCACTAATTTTAACAAATAGTGAGGTGTACACGCCAGGAAAACATGAGACTCAAAATGCAAGATATATAAGTTGGTACAATTTTCCTCTATCATCAGTCCCACGTTTCATCAGAAGTTTAATCTTAATGTGCCGTTTTAATTACACTGTACAAAATGGTTCAGCAGTATACTTTAGTCTGACAAGTCAAGGAGTAGTGATTGAAGATGCATGCAAATTTAGTTCAAGTTTCTTCTCCACTAAGTCACTGATGACTGGAGATTCAGATCTGACGCTGCTGGGTTTAGGGTTTTGAGAGAAGGGGGAAAAATGATCTGAAAAAATTTAGAGCAACCGAGGCTCTGATATCATGACAAATATTTAGGAGAAGAATTTCTAATCTTATTACTTCCGCAGTTAACAATGATATATCTACAATAGAGGAAGGTTAGAGATGATAAATGCAAGACTTAACTGCTAACCTCTAACAACTAACTACAACCGACTATAATTACACAGTATTGACTACTAACGACAACCAACTATAATTACACAATATTAACATTATTTCACAAAATGCAATGAACAATAATGGTGATGTGTAATTCGTTGAAGAAATATTAAAGATAGTTAGTTAGTTAGTTAAGATTGTTAGAGGAATAAAGATAAGTCAGGTAAGCATCCATACATAGGGGTATGCGTAGACCTGGGAGTATGCTTAATAAAAAATTCAGAATATCTCTCTTTTCTCTGTTTCTCTATCTATTTCTCTGTCTTCTATTACTATTTCCCTCTTCTTTCCGTTCTCTTTTCCTATTCTTCCTACCACTACATGACAAATGGGATGGAGAATGGCTCATTAATCATCATGTGTGCATGTAAGACTAAAAATCTATTACCTTCATAGGTAACTATAGTAATATAGGTGTATTTAATTGAAACACTGATAAAATTGCCAATATCAAGCTCCATCATTTCCGTTCCTACCCTCCCCAATTGCACACGCACAAATATAACAAAATTTCAAGCATAATAGTACAAACTACAGCATTAAGAGATTTAATAGGTTTAGTTGCTACAGAAATGACATGTCAGAGAACTTTTCACGGGGGAAAAAAAGCAGAACATACCGAAAGATTATGCACCGCAACATTTTTCACGTCCTGCATTTGTAATTCTGCCTGTAATACATCAGCTAATTTTGTGTTACATATACATACAAGGGCAGTGCTAAAATTATGGTTTTTATTGAGATGACATTATATGAGAAAAGAAAGACTTCAAAAGGAACCGATCTCAGAAAACAAAATTACGACCAAAATCAAAAGGTAAAGATGTGCAGCAAAATATATCGTTTAGATAACTAAGAACCCTCAAGGGGTACAGAAATAATTTCGAAAAGCATTGTTGAGGTAAGGATTTCTTCCCGTTCCAATATATGAATTGAAGGGTTTATATTCTCTATAAATTACCAAGATAATAATCGTGACACAATTTCTGTCATTAGAATGTATAGAAGCCAAAGACACAGAATATATTTTTCGTTGAAAAGTACATAAAAAAGGAGCAATCTGAATAAATTACAAATAAAACTAATGTATTTTAAGAATATAAAGTTACACTGCATTAAACAGTTAATAAAAGATCATGCATGGACTGGGTGTGAATAGCAAAAGACAATGCATGCAAATCTAACTACGCATCCACCTGTAATGATTTTGTTAAATGCACCACGCTCCGCTTTGTAGCTCCATATGCAGCAAACCTGAGGAAAGGGGGAGATATCAAGAATAATCACCAAAGCATGTTTGGAAAGCTTAGAAACTAAGTGCAACCTAGCTATTATGTGAGATTGTGGTTCCTTTGACAAAAAGGATTATTTAGTTTCATGATCTATAAGCTACCTTTCAATTGCCATCACTCAATATGCAACTGCTAAAACTTTCTGAAAGTGGCAGAAATAAATATAAAGTTAACAAAGATAAATCTTCCCCAATGGAAGCAAAACCATTGTTCCCACATGGTCTATCAAATAGTCAACAATGCAATTAATTGGTTCAACTATGAATACTAATGGCAATTGACAACAGATTTGCTGGAAAGGCTTTGGTGATGCTTCTCACCATATAAAATTGCAAACAAAGCTTCAGCCAACAGACTGCTATTGAACTGAATATTTACAGGTTTGTAGAGTAGTTGAGCAATGAGCAAAAATCAGCTGTTATGACTAATGCGGTTCAGTCCCAGGCGACATTAGCAGAGAAATTCATCAAGTGATAGGATATTGTTCCCAATCAACACAGGAAATACTTGAGCAAACTCAAAACACCTGGGAGTGGTCTTCCATCTGAACCTGCCCCATCAATATTGAAAATATGACCTCCGCGTGGCTGATTTGCCATAATCTTTATTGCCTAAATAAAAAATACAACATTGTGCATAACACTTCACCTGATTGTCTGTAATACTACTTAGATAAGATCTATTTACCTCTCGACAACATATCATCAAACCAAGCGTATTTGTAGTAACTACCTCACTGCATTAACAGAATAATTATGTTCAAGGATGGACAATTTTAAGGCAGATGATAAGGTGCATGGTCTATCAGAGCTCACATAAGATCTTCATCAGATGCCTCCGCAAGAGGCTTGTAGCTATATGCATTTGATCCTGCATTATTGATCTGCATTATCCTCAACATAGGTTGAGATAGAATATAATTAATATACTAAAACACATTCAAATTTCAAGGCAGAAAAAGAAACCAACTATAAAACATTATAGATATTACAAGAAAATGGTATAAATATTTGAAGTGATGAATCGGGAACAGAAAAGGGAAGGGATGGCAAAATTCATAATACTAGGTCTTAGAGGCGGCAGCTGCAAACAAAGGGAAAATGCATCATCATCAAGTTGATAACGCCTTAAAAAAGTACTAGCAGAAAATTAACCAAGAAAATGATTCAAGAGGACCATAGAAATATCTAAACCCACTTTGTTTTAGGTGCCTAAGGCATGAGCAAACAAAGACACACGGATATGCATAAGTTAAGATATTACAGATCCCATGTAAGTGTAATAAGGATTTGATTGAGGTCCAAGGTTCAAGGGCTGCAACCAAGAGGAAGTAAATGTGTGGGAATTCTGTACATATAATCAGGAATTATCTCCTTGGAATTAATGAGAAACCATACATCCATACTAGCCTATGATGTAAAAAACTATTTTCCTTTTTCCCTTCTCACGATTGTGACTAGGCCATTGACTGCATTTATTTTGCGTTGATTCACTAGTTTATTTCCTTTATCAGCAGGGTATTGCTTGTATTCTGATGGAAGCCTTCAGCTTCCGTATTATTTTTATAAAACAGCATTATACTTCTCTGTTGTTAAGGGAACAAGACCAGCATACACAGGACTGAGCTCAGAAAATCAAAAAGAGAAAGAAAATAAAGGAGCCCTGGCTTTTGAGAGGCCAGGTTCTCTCTTGGACAAACCTCAGATCATACCCTTCCTTTCTATTTCAATGTTTTCAAAACTGAATGGGGCATCAAACTGGCCAAGGTACTGATTTAAGGTTTAATGATCAAACCATGGTCAGACCAGTTTTAAATAAATCAATATATTTTAAATACTATTTATGAAAAAGAAAATAACTTGAAAATAACAAAGAATATTAATTATAAAATGTTGATTTCCCACCTCCATTTGCACTTCTCAACCGTTTTTTCGTATATTGGAGTTTGAAAACCTAGGACAATACGAGGGTTTGTACACATTGAACATTTTTTAAAAAGAAGCAAATAACCATCAGCCATCAAGTCTAGTCTGCATCATTCCAATAAAGCATGCATGCTGTAAAACTACAGCTCAATTAGTTGATCCGACTGCTGGTCAGATTTTACTTGTGGGTAGATGTTTGCTTATAATTTTTTTATTGAAAAAATTGGTTTAGTTTTATTGTGCTTTTCAAATCCCATCATTCCAAATCTTCCCTCTTGCATTTGGCCTATTTCTTCTCCCTACTTTCATCCCACTGATTTCTCCCTTCTCTTAACAGAAATCCTCCTGTTCTTCCTCACCTTTTCTTAAAACAACTCCCATTTCTCTTCTCAATCTCTCTCTCTTTTCATTCTCTCTCAGACCATCCCTCCTTCACCATCCTTTTGTCTCTTCAGGGCTTGACGTATCCAGATTATGGACAATATATGCATTTCTCTGTGCAGGACTTACAAAATGCTATAGATGAGCCTTGCCATTGAAGGGAAAAACAAGATTGTCACCTTTTTTCCTTCTTTTTCTTCTTAGATCCAGACCTATGGCGTTGGACCATGTGGACCAATTAGACCGTCTATTATCTGGTTTTCTACCGGTTACATTGGTTTTGACCCATTCATCACATGTTTTGGATTGAACCAGGAACCAGTTCACTGATTTCCGGTCAGAACTAGTAATGATACAGTTCTAACAACACTAGTTTTTTGCTTGACATAACCCATCCGAGGCAGCTCACTTTCTCTCCCAAATCATGCACATATGGACAAAATCCCAAATTCCTATCCTGTCCTTCCTCTCTGCCCTCTGTTAATATCATCTCAGGACTTCCTTAGATTCCTCCATATACAAACTTTGCCCACTTACTTTCTGCATCCATTTTCTTCTCCCTCTCATAGACAGGCCCAACATCTTCTCTTTGTTTAACTTGATTAATCTTTAGCCACATTATTCAAATAATGTAGCAAAATTGAAGCACTCTTCAACCCTGATATTTTCAGTAATGAACAAAATAGTACGATAACAAGGAATATAAAATATCTAAAGATTTGCCTGATATGTCACAAGCTAAAATTTATATTCAATAAAAACAGCCATGTCATTTTTTTCCAAGTATTAACTCAGCGGAGACTACCAAGAATGCAGACTTAAATCTTTTCAAATTGCAAAGATAATTGCACTAATAAAGAACCCTCATGCTAATAATAATAATAATATTCACCCAGCAGAAACTGTCATACTAACGTCATTACAGTTAAATAAAATGAGGCATAACAACCAAAACATCATTCAAAATTCTATTTCTAGATAAATAACAATTTCATACACAGAAACTCACATAGTTGCTGAGACAATTCAAATGACTTTAATGATTAAAGCAATCAAAATTAGTTGTATCAATTCTCTCCAGCTACTACGTGTAAAAGTAAATAATCAAAAAGAAAAAATAGTTCTGATATTGAGTACCCATATATCAATGTATTTCAGTTTTTCTTGGGCAAATGCAACTAAATTCTTCACATCCTCTGCCTCTCTCACATCACACTTAGTGCCCTGGGGGAAACAAAATGGTGACAATCAGACAATACTTGACTGACTATATTTATAATAGATTTGTTAGCACTAACATAAAAGTCGAAGAGGAGGTACCCACACATGCTGCTCCCCAAATTCTTCTCTTAAGCTCTGGACAGCAGATTCTACCCTTTCATCTGTAAATAAAAAACCATGAGACTGAGAAAGAAAGATGGAAAAAATAAGATAAATAAGAATCTTAAATCATAGCCAATAATAATTAGTAAGAAATATTAAATTTTCAAGTCATTTCACAAATGCAACAAGCTCTGACTAACAAAAAGCCATAAATAAGTATTTGACTGAGAATAAAATTAAAAAAAAAATGCAATGCAATAATTAGTTTATTCTCTTGATAATACAAAGAAGTAGAAGGAACAATAGGGAAAAAACTACACTTTTTATTGGAAGAAAATTTCTCAATATAAACATCATATTATGTATAAGCAGATATGTAAGTCTCAAAAGAGAGGAAAACAAAGTGATAAGAATGTCTGAGAATAGCCATGATTTCAAAACACACACACACACACACACATCTCCAAGACAAGAATCATAAACTGCATTAGCAATCCATTTCTAGGAAGAGTCTGAATAACCCAGAAAGGTTCCTCAACTTTTGCTGCTCAAAGGATCTGAGATGAAAAATTTTCTAACAGAAAAGGTGACCTTAATTAAACCACTATGATCAACAACTCAAAGAATCCAAAGTGGATACAAATTTCAGTGTACGATAAGGTTGAGTAATATTGAAATTCAAAATCATAGAGTAAACAAGTTACAACTTTCAGATGCATCAAGAGTAAAGAAATAATCCATACTTGATCTTGAGCAAATTACGACATAGTCACCAGCTCTTAGAAATTCTTTTGCCAATGCGTAACCAATTCCTGAATCAAATGACAGATATAATATTTAAATAAAAAAAAGACACAAATTGGGGGTGGAAGGGGAGGGGGAGAAATTTTATTATAGTACATAATAAATAAAATAGTTCCTCTACAGCTTTTATCCTCACAATATGGACTGTAGCACTACAGAAGATTATAACCCTGCAATTACATGGAATCTGGCTACAGTGATGCTTCTGTGTTATTTAATGTCGCAGAAGCAAATTCTATAGACCTAGAGCTACATAGAGCAGTAACCTCAATTTAAATCATTTTGAGAGGCTGAAGGCTAGAAGCTTTAAACCCTCCTTCACCAACAGCACACTTTGGGGTTTCTTGCACATCATTTCTGGTGCTGTCAGCTGTCAATAACATCTTTACTTTATCATCTTAGTTTTACTCCCAAAATAAATTAACATGAAAATTGTTCATGAAATCCAATCACCATGTTGCTTGATTATATCTACATAATGTTCATCATCCATTATTCTTACTGAGAAAATAAATTGTCATACTTTTACTAATAGTATGTTTGAATCCTATATTAATAAAATAATAAAACAAAAAATTATATACCGTACTATACTGGAAAATAGTCCTTTATTAGGCTTCTCTTATTTCTGGATAAATCAACCTCACTTTTGATTGTTTGTATCCATTTTGAACTCTTTAGTCCAACACATATTAAAAAGAAAGTAAAAGAAGAGGAAGGAGAAGAATAGAATTATAAAGTAGGTGATATGCATAGAAATTGCACCAAATCATCCTACTGTAATTTTCTTTACTTTTTTGCAAGTAATTTAAGCTTACGATTACTTCTGTAATCAAATTCTTGTTTGCCTTTTCTTTCTAAATGGTTTTCCTAAATTATCTCTCTAGTTGCATATTAACTTGTCTTTTCTTCCAATTTTTACTTTTCTTTCAATTTATCTTATAGTTGCCACACTTCTCTTTCCCATCAATTGGATAATCGCATTATCCTTTATCTTCAGTTTCTATCTTTTTTGTTTTCATGCATCAATGATCACTTCTGCATTTTAACTGTTGCTTCTATTAAACTTCAAAAGGTTACACATCACATTAATTCTGCTTCACATTCATGCTTAAAAGACAATAATTTTGTCCTAATTCAATCCTTCTTAAGCTAGTAAAACATACTGTACAGCGCAATTTTCTGGGGAGCATTAAACAACATCACATTGAGGTCTCACTCTTAACATTACTATAGTATTTCCACCTATGATAAACAGGGAAATGAACTAAAACAATAACAAGAACCGAAATGAAAAAGAAATTTAGTGCCGAATCTGACCTTTGCTTGAACCTGTTATCAAAACGCGGTAAGGGGGAACCATGGGCTCTCTGCTGGCCGAAGCCATTGGAACAAAGCTTGGAGAATGCGAATTTCTGACAGCACAGAGTTTGCAGGTGCCGAAATTTTTAGCGGCCAAAGAAGTGCTACCATTGAATTTAGGATAAGGAGTCCGTGCTTCTGATAGTGGAGAAACCACGAAGTCAATTTTAGAAGAGAGAGTGGGACAGGGAAAGAGGGAAGCCATCATCGACACAAGAGCAGAAGGTGAAGAAGCAAACGGATATGAGGAGGCTCTTCGTTTGGGTGGGGTCTTTAATTTCTGCATCATGTAACAATTTTTTTAGAACTGGAGAACAAACAGCATAGAATGAGTCCATTCCAAACCAACGAGGGTCTAGCGGGTAATCTATATTTAATCTCCAATTATGACACGAACAAGTAATAAGAGAAAAACATAGAAGGAGTCCACGACAGTCAACTCGTGAAAGTGTCAAAAATTACAGCTTCCACCCCCCCTTTCTTTTTCTTTTCTTTTTTAATTTGGATTAAAGGGCAATACTTCTTTTAACCTATGGCCCTGTTTAGTTGATATGAAGTATTAAATTTTAATTTAAAAAATTGTTCAGAGACCTGATTGGATTTGTTACTTCCCACATTTCAAAAATCCTATTTAACTTTTTAGATGCCAAATATTATTTGGATAAATATAATAGGTGTAAATTGACATTGCAAAAAGACTTTTAAAAAATGATCTAATAGTGAATCTATGTATGGGCAATCTAAGTATGTGTTTGATTTTCAGTTTGTTAAAAATCCATTGGTAAAAATTCATTTCACAAAAGTTAGTTTAGTAAAAGCCAGTTGTTATAATAAATTTATATTTGGATATATTTTTTTAAAAATCAGTTTAGTATACTGAAAGTTGTTTAAATTATAATAGTGAAATGTATTTTTAAATATACAATTACAAAAAGGACATTGATTTATAATAATTTATAATTTTTATTATATTAATGTAATATATTTAAAATATTTAAAAAATGTGAAAGATTTTAAATAACATAAAATTTAATCTATAATGCTGAAAACTTGATCTCTAGTTATTTGTACTTTTTAATTTGTAATTTTAAAAAAGTGATAAAGATTTATAATTTTTATTATACAATAATGCTAAGAATTAATATGATTAATTATTCAATTTATAATGTTAAAAAATTGACACTTAATTATTATTATTGAAATGATAATTATATTTTTAATTGATTAACTATTTTTTAAATAAAAAAATAAGAGATTAAACTTGGAATACTATGGTCAAATAACATTTCACTTTTCAAATTCATTTTTCAAAAGTTTCAAATAATTATGGGTCCATTTGGTTACTCTCAGTTTCACATTCAGAAAGTAAGATTTCACTTTTCAAGATGTTGGAAATTATTTGGGTAAAACATTTTGTAGAACAGCATATCCTCAAAGCACATCTAAATTTGAAAAATGTAATTATTTGAAGCTTTTGAAAAGTAAATTTAAAAAATAAGATGTTATTTGATCATAGTACCCTAAGTTTAATTTCTTATTCTTTTATTTAAAAATAATTAATTCATTAAAAATGTAATTATCATTTCAATAACAATAATTAGGTATCAAGTTTTTAGCATTATAAATTAAATAATTAATCATGTTAATTCTTAGCATTATTGTATAATAAAAATAACAAATCTTTATCACATTTTTAAATTACAAATTAAAAACTACAAATAACAAGAGATCAAGCTTTTAGCATTATAGATCAAATTTTATATTATTTAAAATCTTTCATATTTTTAAATATTTCAGATATATTATATTTGTATAATAAAAATTATAAATCATTATAAATCAATGTCCTTTTTGGTAATTGTATGAGTAAAATCACATTTTACTATTATAATTCAAACAACTTTTAGTGTACTAAACTGACTTTTAAAAAAATATATTTAAACATAAATTTTGTTACAATAACTAGCTTTCACTAAACTAATTTTCCAAATAAATTTTTACCAAAAGAACTTTTAGCAAACTGAAAAACCAAACACATATTATGTTTCTCATATCCACTTTCACCCATTGTTTAGATGTGTTTTGAGAATGTTCTTTCTTACAAAATATTTTACTCAAACAACTTCCAATAACTTGAAAATGAAATCTTGCTTTTTAAATGTGAAACTGAGAGTACCCAAACAGGCCTTAAGAGCTTCTCAAAAGTTCTTTTCAACTTTTCAATTTTAAAATTACTCCTCTTTTCTTTTTTATAGGAAAGAAAGAGTATTTATTTTAGCTTTATTTAAGAGATACTTCAATAATTATTATGTCCATTTTTATCATTGTACCCTTATCAAATGTTAAAAAAGTTATTAAATAAAAGTATGCATATTTAATAGGAGTAAACTGGAAACTTGTTATCCAATATATCAAATTTTATATTTTTTTATTCTTATTATTTAATATATTAAATTTTATATCATTAAAATTTTTATCATATTTATAAACATTTCTAATATATTACATTAGTATTATAAAAATTATAAATGATCATAAATCAATATCATTTTTAGTAATTATACATTTAAAAGCATATTTTACTGTATATAATCTAAATAATTTTTAATTTATCAAACTAATTTTAAAAAAATATATTTAAATACAAATTTTTAATAGTAACACTTAGCGTCGGCTACCTCATGCTCGTGGTGTTGGGGCATGCATCATCAATTTCATCTTCAGTGGCCTTAATGTTTGACCCAAATAATAACAAATATAAATTAAAAATATCTCAACAGTAAAAGAAATAAAATTCAATTTTATGCAAAGTGATTTTTTCATTTCTCTCTCTCTCTTTTTGGCCCTTTTTTTCTTTTTTTTTCTTTGGTTGTTTTTTCTTATCTTTTTGCCCCATTTTTTAGTGCTAAATAAAAGGAAAAATTGAATGAGTGAAGGAATGAAAGGAAAATATGGAATAATAAGCAAATAAAGAAACAAAGGAAACAAAATATGGTACACAAACTAATAGAAAATGAAGAAAATATAGTAGAATGGGTTGAAACAAAGGAAATATGGAAACAAAACAAGAGTAATAGAAAGAGAAATCAGAAGAATAAAGAGGTAGCAAAGGAATCCAAAATAAATATCTCTATAATATCCAAAAGACTATATTAGAGTTTAGGATCAAAATACCTTAATTATCAAGTAACTTAAAAAGTATAAACCTCACCTTAAAAGTGTTTCTGTTATGATTCTTGGCACTAGAATGGTATTTTATAGTGAGTTTGGTGGTAGAAGTGAAGTGATGACCCAATTTTGATACCAATTAATGTGAGATGGAGAAAGGGAAAGGGAAAAGGAGAAGAGAATAAAGAAAGAGATATAAAGAGAGTTGAGAGAATATGAAGAGGAGAGAAATTAGGAGGAGAAGTAAAATGATAGCAATTATTACTCAATCAAAGCCATGTACAAAGCAAATAAATTAAGATGCTATTTATAAACTTCAATATTAACCGTAGAAATAAATGTAAAAATATTCTAGGAATCATAAAATTAAATGGAAAAAAATGAAAAGATCATTAAAAAAAATCAAAAGATAGCAATAAATGATGAAAGGTAGCAATAATGACAATATAAAGAAAATATTACTAATTAATATGGAAATTAAGATAAAATATCTTCAATCTTCAATCTTCAATCTCCAAAATTTCCAAATCTTCAATTATTTCTTTTTTATTTTTTTCATCTATGTCAAAAATTTATGAATAATATAAAATTAAAAAATATTTAATAATTAAACTTAACACATCTTCATCTTCATTATTCTTTTTGTTTCCAAATTCTATATATATATCATTTCTTTCTCATTCTAAATATAAAATAAAAAAATTTTATAAATATCTTTTGAATGGTTTATTCAATTTTAAATTTTGAAAAATAATTCAAAAGAAAAATTATTTTTAATCATTTAAATGATAATTTTTTAAAATTTTTTCATATAATTTAAAATTATATTTAATTTGCTAAATATTTTTAAAAATACTTTTAGTTGTGACAAATGTTACCCCCAAAAGTAATTATATGGACTATTTTAAATTTTTTAAGTATTTAGTTCATAAAAATACTTTTGACGGTAATAAAAGTCACTATAAAAAGTATTTTTGGTGACAATGGTTTAAAATCACAGTTAAAAGGCCACTTCTAATAGCAACAATTAAAAATCATTGTTAAAAGTTTAATCTTTTGTCTCCTTGAAACTCAAGAAGACAAAGGTCTGAGCCTATAGAACAGATCTTATTCAAGTAAGGTTGTTGCTAAAAGTTTAATTTCAATAATGACTTTTTATAGTGACATTATGTTACCACCAAAAGTAACCTTGTTTGTAGTGGTTAAGAGTGGTGTGGCCACCTTTATAGGATCCACAATTATATAGGTGAGTCCAACATTTATATAAGTAGGCTTGTAAGAGGCACTTGAAAGATTGATAGACATGGCCTGACATAATCAAATTAGATTAAAGATTAGTCGGTTTAAGAAGGAGGAGCTGGACTAGACTAGTTAGAATCACCATTTGGGCCTGCTTGACTTTGATATGCATAGATTTATTTTATAGTGAGTCCAACATCTTGAACCTTGTCTTGTCCTCAATTGCTTGAGTCCTTCTAGAGTCTTTTTTCATCACTCTCATCATAATGTTTAGCCTTCGTGATCACTTCTTTAGAACATCTATATCTTCAACATTCACATGCTTTTCCCAATTTACTAAAAGCTTGTTCTCTAGTTTTATTATGCACCAATTTCCTACTTTTCTCTCCCCCATTAGCTTGTTCTATTATTCTCTACCTTAAGCTGAAATTGATTATTTTCCTCTTTAGAGTAATATTGGTTATTAAAATGGCTAATAATGATAGACAATTCAAAATTTTAGGTGTTATGTGTGATTTGATTGAGTTTAAATTGATTTCTAAAGTCAAATGGTGTAGATGACTTGAAAACCTAGAAAACTAGCCTAAACATAGTAGGGTAATGAAGGTAAATGAAAGAGGAGAAATGGGGTTATGATGTGTAAAACAACCATTTCACTAAACAAACTTGTAAAAATCACCCAAAAGAAGGTGAATTGAGCTAATTAAAAAAATTAAGGCAATTAACATAGATATAAAGATAAGCTAGGAACTATATCATCAATCAAAGCTAAGAATAGAGAAGAAAAGCTTTCCAAAGATAGTTTATCCTAATTTAGCTCTATCCACATGCACCTACATCCAAGCCCCAAGGTAGCCTTGAGATCTCTCACTATTCACCAAGATTAAACTGGGCTCTTAGTCACCTCAATACAACACATATTTTTTACTAAGCTTGAAACCCTTTCCCTA